CGGCTACATTCCTACCACGTTTGTACGATACACACAGCACAGGGAGATACAAATGGAGCAGAAGTTAATTAACTGAATACGAGAAGCTGCTTGATAAGATTGGATAACAAGGAGATTACAGCTTGTTTGGAGTTAACCATTCAAATGTTTGGCGTTGTACGGTTTATTTATAAACTCCAATTTAGAGAGGTTATGAGAACAGGTTGACATTTCCAAAGTTCGTTCCGTCATTCAACGATTCCTTTTGAGTTGACCGTTTATCCTTGTCTATCTTATGGTCAGTCTGTATAATTCCATGGTTACCGGAGTTTTAAATAATTACGGATCAACAGGTAATTGCGCAATGTTAATTAGGCAGATTACCTTGAAAAACATTGTTGCCGTATCTCTGATATAGTTTTTTGCAAATTTCTCAGTTTTTAATAACAATTAATTTATTTTACAATTTTTTCTGTACTCCTATAACAGCGCCAGACACCATAACACCTCCAGAGGAATGACGCCAATTTTGAATCACCCTGTATAAGCTGTGCCTTAGTTTTACGAAAATTTGTTAAATTTTTGCAACAATGCATTTAAACTTTGCAATCAGTGTTTTTGTAACTGTTAAGTATAGAACCCGATAAAAATCGAAAACGGTACCAGTTTGGATATAAATTCGTTATTTCGACGTCAATAAGACGTCCGGATTGAACGTCCTTTAACCTGTGACAATTTAATGTGACCTAGGACATTATGGCATTTACCTATTATATTACGGAGGTATTAGCTGCCCAAGACTGTCAAAATTACGACAGTCTGTTATCAACCTGACAACCAATTGATCCTTGGTTAATTCGGCTGCAATGCGGTTTGGCAAAACTGCCGTGCGAGCTAAACGAGCAGAATAAAAATATTACAATGATTTATTCATTAGATGAGAAACTCAAATGCGATATTAGAAACCATGGGTATGGCAAATTTATGCCCAATAAATGAAGACATGACATTTAAACAGTACCTATGCACATTTTATAAGCTGGTGTAACAAGAAAAAAATTGCAAAGTTTCAAGGAAGCAGCAAGTGTCTTAACTCGTTGAGTACAGTGCAGCAAGTAACGCATACTTCTCAGAATCAAGGAAAACACTAGATCATTTTTGTTGAATCTACAATTCCAGTCATTTTTTAAATACATTTTAAATAATTTAATTTTTTTCTTTTTTATAGGCGATTTCTGACAAGTTTATTGGAAGTCAGAGTTCAAGTTAAATAACTGTACTAGTCTTTGCAGTCGTGGTCTTGGTCTTGCAAAAAATGCATCGACGATAGAACAAAACCAAATGTGGCCAATACAATAATTCAATATTGAACCGCATTGAATCTGACCTCGTAGCCCTTAAATATGATGAATAAGAAAAATGGTCCGTTTTAAACGCTTAATCGAAAACATTAAATTAGAAACCAAAGATGTGAACCAAGTGTCACATAAATAAAACAGTAATTAAAATATTATCGATTCCAAACTTTTTCCCTTTTCTTTCAGATTACCTAAATCTGGAAGTAGGTGGTATATATTTGCAAAACAAATTTAACTTAGTCGTCGATATTGTCTACATAAAATTGCCTATTGATCGACATAATTAGTGTTTGTGCCCCTTCTGTTTGTCCAAGTACAAGCTGAGTTTGTCTCGTAGAGTAGCCCTTTTGACGGTATACAGGGTGTTCGAATAATGCGTTAGGAAATTTTTAACGGCGATTCTACATCGTCGTATAAAAAAATTCGAAATACGAATATTTTCTGACTTACAGCTTATCAAACTTCATTTTCTTTATTTTTATTTTTGACCTATTCTGCACATTTCTTCGTGGATCAAATTGAAAATCGGAACTGAGTTTCAGCTTAGTGATCTATAACTTTCTGATAAGAATCTGTTTCTACACTTTGCCACTAGATGACACTTTACCTGAAATCGAGATTTTATTTTTTTTTACTTTTTTGACACGCTAAATTTAATTTTAAAGATTAGAACGTACTAGACGAAACATGTGCTCTTCACAAGACTTTAAAAAGCTCTTCGTTTAGGAGCAAATCGACATCAAAGTTTTTATCACTCTCAAATCATTATCCTTGGATTTAATTGCAATCGCAGCAAATCAAGTCGTCTGGTTTTGAAATGTGCCAAATTTGACAATAACTACATTTTTCTGCTGCATTTGAATGCAACTATATGAATATTATCGATCCATTCTAATTTGGTGGTTTTCGAGCACAAACATTAAGTCTAAATTAAACAGTGACACAATAATTACTGAAAATTGTAAAATTTGGCACATTTTACAGCCAGACGACTTGATTTACTGCGATTGTAATGAAATCCAAGTATACTGGTTTGAGAGTGATATTAACTGTGATGTCAATTTGCTCCTAAAGGAAGAGGTTTTTCGAGTCGTGTGTGAAAAGCACATTTTTTGTCTAGTGTTTTTTAATCTTTAAAATCGCATATTACTTTTTGTGATATTTGGCTAGCCAAAAAAAGATATGCGAAAAATGAAAGTTGGAATTCAGATAAAGGACATCTAGTGGTTAGTGGACAAACAATTTTTTATCAGAAAGTCGTAAGATCAGTAAGCTTAAACTCTGTACCGATTTTCAATTTGATTCGCGTAGAAATGTCCAGAATCGGTCAAAAATAAAAATAAAAAATAGTTTATTACATTACAAGGGACGAAAGTCGAAGTTCTGCCACTGCTTCAAGTTGACGCCCGAGGCGAAGTCGATGGCGTTATGCACGCAGTGGCACGCCTTCGACTATCGCCTCGCGTACCGTATACTATTATTGAGCATGTAGAATCATCGTTAAAAAATTCCTAACGCATTATGCGAACACCCTGTATGGTCCTGTTCGCAGCGCCCCCTGTCAAAATCGAAGAAAATATTTTCGATAAATTATTCTCCCTTTTTGACTCTCAAGTTGGCCTAACCTACAAGGTCGAAGTAGGCGTTGTTTTTCTGACACGAATAAACTTTCCCCTCCCAGATATTAACTTCTTATTTGAAACATTTTTTCCTCGGATCACTCGTTTCCGAAATATTAAGTGTTTCAAGATTTTAAAAAACCACCCTGTATATATATATATATTAATATATCTGACGTTGGTATGTTATCAAATCAAAAAAGAACAGTTGATGACGGTTTCTAAGAAACGATACGTTGGAATTATTTTTGATAGACACCACCTTGTACAGCTCGAAAAGGTGCAATGAGAAAGTATTTTTTGTTTTTTGATGTGATTTGAACTAACTACAAAACTGAAAAACTAAAAAAAAACCGCAAATCCGAAAAATCACGTTTTGTAAATATTTCTAAAATTAAAATGTAAACTTATTTTTTCAAATCGCCATGTATGTGGCTTTCTGACTGCGCAATTATTTTTTTAAAATAATTTTTCTAATCCTAACCGACTTCATGCATCCTTATTTGGAAATAACTGCCAATCTTAGAAAATGTGAACAGTAAAAAGGCAAGCTATGAAGAAAATATTAAAACAATTAATATGTTTATATTATCAGTTATATCTTGATACATTTTTTAAAAACATTGGACTGAAATATTTTTCAACTGAATAGATAAGACCGAGCAATTTTTTAATTTTGAAAGAAAAGTTTGCTTATGAAAATGATGAAAACGCTTGAATTATTACATGTGTGTATATTTTGTTTCATCTCAGAAACGGATATAATAATTTTTTGTTAAAAATTATGCTGTGGTATTATTTGCGCAAATTGTCATGATTTTAATACCTGAACATTTGAACTGGGAATAATGAAATCTGATTTACATGTTTTATTTCTTTACAATCGTACCTTGTTTTGAAAACATGTAACACATACAGACATCGTTTAAGTTGCGTTTACCTATTTGAATTCAGTTTACGTCGTCATTGAAAGAGTGGTAACTTAGTTTCTTTATCTTTCACAATCTTCTTCTCATATTGGCACATAACCGAAAAAATTCATATCGAATATACTAACCTTACTTTTACGTAGTTGTTTACTACCATTACTACTCGTGCTGTGTGTTTGTCGCACACGTTGTGTTCCCTAATAAATTTTTAAATAAAGCTTGGAATATTGAAAAAACAACAGTACGTGATGGAGGATGAAGAAAAATGTGTACTCTTTCACGAAATGGAACTGGATGACAGAATTCTGAAGGTAGGCCTTTGAAATTGCTTTTGTCTTTAGATATAAAGAGTCCCATTCCAATGAATCTTCTATTTGATAAGAAATTTAAATTGCTCAGACACACATAAGTAGGTAAAAGTCAATTTAATAATAAACAAGGTAGTACTGCTATAGGTATTGGAAGAATATAAAATTGTTGGTATCCACAATTTATCCAAATATATAATCAATAGCAACAATTATATAATCCAAATTTATTACGAGCACCGATTGCATGTGAAAGCGTCTGGAAACATATTGTTGAAACAAGGTAAAACGTTCTATTGCCCAGCTGTATGCTATGCAACACAAGTTGTTCGCCTAAAATTCTATGAAAAGCAAATTTAATATTACAACAATTTATTACCTATATATTAAATGGAATATAAGCAATTATTATCACACGTGCCAGATATGAACTTTATGTTGTTGCCGAAAAAGTTCTATACAACATTGAGCAACATTTGAAGTTACATTACTCTGTACCTTCTCTAATACTTATTTGAAATGAACACAATGAAATCGAACATTTATTCGCTTAAGATGTTTTTGTGGGAAGAGACGTTTAAAATAACCAACCGTAGACATGGAATGTTTAGGTATTAATTGTACAGCTCTGAGTAATACACGTTTTTCTGGAAATAAATTTCTTCGTCTCAAATTTATATCTAATCTAAGATCTACTAATTTATATCTAAGGAGATGTAAATTCGTAATATGTATAAATTGGTTGCTTTCAAAAGCATATCTTCATTTCTGTGTTCTTGGACAAACCGGTTGCAAAACTATAGGCATTGTTGATTTTAGGGGGTAAAATATCTATTACTCGTTGAACAAGAAATTAATGCAGTAGTTGTTCTCTGATCATCTTATTAACAGTTTCTTTGCTACTTCTAACTGAACCCAATCATCTACTGCTCAGTTTTGGATGTTCTTTAATCAGATTCAAAATATTGGCTTCAGCCTTTGGAGATCTCAGCGTACTTGCACGACGATTGTTAATGGAGGCCTATTTAGTCCACAAAGACATTTTTCAACTCTGTTTTATTATTCAATTGTATTCTATTTAACTGGGATCACTGGGTTAAAGTATTTTGTATTAATTTTTTAAGTAAAAGACATAAAATCTCGGTGTGTGGTAACAAACTTATTTCGTTTTCGACGTGTGCAACGTAGAGCAGGTAGCCCCCTTTACATTTAATAAAAAAATTAAAGCATACTGAAATTCCTTAGCTAAAATAACTCAAAATGGGATAATGTGGCAACTACGCCAGTTTAGGTCTGGGTAAGGCTGTGTTGAGTTGCGTTTTTGAGTTGTTGCTGCCTTCTGAGTTAATGAGTTATTAACTCATTGGTTAATGACTAGCGGATAATACGAGCTTTCAAAAAGTTACCTCATTTTTTTTAAGTAACGTTTTTCCCGCAACGGAACTGGGTTACTGCGCCTGTGCGTTGGGTTGGCGCACTACGCAGGCATTACCAGTTATCACAAAATATTCATATGACAACTAAACGCGAATTGAACTCTCCGAAAATTCCAAAATTATTTTCTTTTGTAGACCACCTGTATATTATGTATATTCATGTAAGTTTTCCTGACTGTATTTCTAATTTGATTATAAACAATATTCCTGGGTTTCAGTCAGTTATTTATATATCACATTTTATTCAATTTTCCTAAAAACGTTTTGGTGTTTTTCCACCATGATCAATTTGTCTGAAACAGTCAGTTGTTAAAATATTTTGTCCATACATATACATGAAATACAAGAACACTTTAAAATTGTGGGCTTTAAAAAAAATAAAAACGGTTATATTATTTATTAGCACAGCCGGTCATTACTAATTACTAAAACACTGTAAAATTAAAATTCACTGAAACATTATAAAATTATTAAAACAAGTGTTAAATTACTACAGGCGGCGTCTGGACTTTTGAACTCGCGCATAGGTCGTCAAAACCAATGTGTTTATTACAAACAAATTAAGTCTTCTGAGAAAGTTAAAATTTTCGTAAACAAGCGCTTGATTGCTAAAACGCAATATAGTTTATTCTCTAGACATTCGGAGATTTTTGCAGTAATTCTGTGGACTTGTTCGACTGCCGCGTGTTGATTGAGAAAGCCAAATTGGTGGTCAGGAATTAATTTGTTCTTGTCGATGTTTGGTTCCAGAAAGTTGGTTCTCCAGTTGATATGATCGCAATTTTTCTATTGTGGATGTAGTCACAAAAAGTTCTGCCCCTGGGGTTTGAGAGTCTTGAACCAAACATTATATGCTTAGCATTAAAGTCACCTCCAGATATAAATTTGTTTCCCAGTCTTCCGAAGTAATTTTCAAGCTGTTCTTTTGAAATTTTATGTCGTGGGGGACAGTACTGCTGAGAAGGTTATTAGTCCAAGGTCTGCACGGGTGTTCACTTTTACATTTGTAGCCTGCATGTGTCTAACTGGTATGCTTCCATTTTATAGTATATAATTTGATTTTTGATGATAATTGCACTTCCTCCGTGAGCGGTGCCATCAGGGTGTTGAGTGTTGTATATAGAATATCCTGGGATTTTAAAGTATGTTCTGTTAGTGAAGTGGGTTTCTGATACTAGAAGAATGTCGATTTTGTTTGTTTTGAGGAAGAGGTCAACTTCGTCACGATGTTGGGCAAGTCCGTTAGCGTTCCAAAGAATTATTTTGAGTGTGTTATGGGGCATTTTTGGATATCGTCGTGAGTGGGTGGGTTAGAAGGTTAATTAGTAATGTTAGCTGATCAGCTTGTTTGGTTAGTATCCCTTCTAATCTGCTGAAAAGGGCATTTAGGTTTCCATTGTCTGCGGCAGCGGTATTGATTTCCGGAAGCTTGTTACTTTTTAAGGTTTCAGAGTATGTCCGATTTCTATGAGGAATTCTGGTTTGTTGTTCCTGGGAGGAAGTAGAAGTGGTATTAAATTTGGTGTTATTTTGTCGTGGGTTTRCATTTGTTCGACGATTTTGTTRTTTTTGTATTTCATTGTAAACTGTACAAYCTTTGTAGTTAGCARRATGTGATCCTTCGCATAGAACACAAGTTGCTGGAGAATTTTTGTTTTTAGTGCATGAAGTGGTAGGATGTTCGCCAGTACATTTGACACATCGAAAAGGTAGCGTGCAGTAGTTTTTAGTATGTCCATACCTTTGGCATCTTGTACATTGAACAATGTTTCTCGATTTTCTAGGAGGCTCAACTGTAACTACAGCGTTTTGTAAAAGCGTTATTTTATAGATGTCTTTGTTGTTTTCCTGTGGAGCAAGGTCAACAAAAATCAATGGTGTCCGATTTTTTGTAATTCTGCTTGGAGTATTAGACACATTCCTTACATTGTGTCCTAGGGAATTCAGATCTGTCTTATTATCCTCTTCTCTATCTTTCCAGCTTTAGTTGGTAGGTATGGTGAACCGCATTGTTCTCATTTAAATACTTTATAAGGTTTCGATAAGTATTTGTAGAATTGCAGTATAGCTTGATTTCGTTTCCGTTATTAGTTTTGTATCTGATATCTTCGAGTAAGTTTACATCACTTAGCTTTCCAAGAAATACGCTAATATTAGTTACATCAGGAATGTAGACAGGTGGCGGCTTAGGTTCATTTTTGTTTTGGGTTTTGTGTTATTTCAACTTGGATATCTGTGATTTCCATTTCATCGTCGTTTTGTGTTAAAATGGAAAATCTATTGCTTTGTTCTAGCGACGGATTTCGTTTGTGATTAGGTTCAGTGGGACTATTCGGTTGTCTTGGGCGTTTTGTAGGTGACTTTTTTATTGTTTGCCATTCGCTACAGCCATCTTTTCTCATGATCGTGAGAGGACTAATTTGAGTGTTTTGTGTTCTTTGAGTAGAAGATAGGTTGAGCCTTGCTGGTGATAACGGACTTATACTGCCGTGTTGAGAAATATTGATATTTGGTTCAATATAGTCAGAGTACGTAGTAGTAGTGTCATTTGGCTGTTTGTTATTTGCCATTTTTGTTTTATTTTAAATATTAAAATAAATATAAAGTAAACTGCGACACCCGAGCCGCAGAGTTTATTTTAAACAGGTAAATTCTTCGAATATTTTTATGAGTGTAGATGTTCGGATAAAAGAAAAAAATATATATATATATACGTTTGCACTGAATATACACACGTCTAGCACTGAATCTAAACACGTCTAATCAGTTTGAATGCTTGGCGTGGACTGATTGTTAATAAATGTTCGTATTTTTGTTACCCTGTCTACATATAATTTAAGTTTTTTCCGCTACCAACTCATTTTCTTTTGAAATTTTTTGCCTTTTCTAAAATTTTTGTCAGACATACAGTTTCTGTACAAAAAATATTTACAAATGTATTGTGTTGTTGCTTAGAACCAATACTTTACTTAAATTGAACAAATTATTTCGTACATTTAACCAACCGATAGTGTTTACTGTTTTTGGTGTTGAGCGAAGTTGCATAATAGGTGAATCTGAAGGCAACGATGCAAACATAAATTGGCCACTCAGATCACCCGATTTAACAAAACCAGATTTTTTTCTGTGGGGCTCTTTTAAATAAAAAGTTTGCTTTGCCCGTCGCTACAGAAGTCGAGTTACTGGACAGGATCTTTATTGCTGCAGATTATTTTAAAAACAAGCCCGACGCGATGTCCAAAGTACCTACAAGTTAAATTTTTTAAAAGAAATAATTTATGTCTTCGGGAAAACGGTTAACATTTTCAACCTTTGTTAAAATAATGAAATCAGTTCAATTATTTAGAATTAATACTTTTTCATGCTTTTTTGTCGTTCCCAATAATTAAAAATCTTAATTTCAAAGTATCGTAAATAATTAGTTGTACAGAAACTGTATGTCTGATCAAAGTTTAAGCAAAAAAATGTAAAGGCAAAAAGTTTCAAAAGAAAATCATCTAGTAGCGGAAAAAAGTTAAAGTATATATACAAGGGGTAACAAAAGTTCAAACAATTATTAGCAAACCAAGCGTCATTTTTAATATTTTTACGCATAAAAAATATTACGCTTACGTCAGAATACGTTCGTTTATGTAGCAAGTGTTGATTTAAAAATTAGTGAAAATTGTATAGGCGTTTAGAAGTAATTTGGAAAAAACTATTAATTTGAGAACTTTGGCGCCCTGCAGTGGCAAAATGAAGCAACATTGGATATAGGTAACTAGTTTTATGTCATTGTGCAATTCTGGGAGAAATTGATGGTAAATTTGATATAGCATGTCTTATACCCGTCTCCAACGGTTTAAAATTTATTTGCGTTTGTTGTTGAATGATCGATATATTGAGCCGTTCGAAAGTATCGCAGATTGCCGTTTCTATGGATAGATGGATTGACAGGTTGGCAAAACCAACGAGTCGCCGTCAAGTGTCAGTGTGGCCTTAAACAGTCTTTTACTTTTGCTATTAAGTCTATAACATAAAACAATACTTACTCACTTTTAATATGTTTCTATTTGTTTAATTGGCTTGCAAAAACTGAGTCAAACTAAACAAAATAAGTAAATTTGACTAGTTAAAGTGTAGTTGTAATTTAGCCGCCAGAATGAAATCGTCCACTCGCGAATGTTTAGAAATAATCAAAATGTATTTTGAAAACGAAAGTTCTGCTAGAGATTCTACCCGCGTATTTAATCAGTTAAATCCAGACAGAACTATTTTCATGTCTTATACCTACCTGTATTCAATCGTTTTATTTTTATTTGTAATTGTATAGCCTTACTGAAGTACTTACTGAGTTATCTTTAGTTGAGACGTTAGACAATTTTAGTGAAACATTGTCTTTAGTGATTCCTACTTTAAAACTCAAAATTCTTGCAATAATGTCTGCTGTGAATAATTAATTCTACATGGTAAATAATAGAAAATTTGCTACATTTTTATAATTTCCTTAAAATTAAATAACTCAAGTATTAAACTTGAACAATATTTATTAGGCAAACATATGGACTTCAATGTTGTAATAAATGTTGAAAATGGTATCCGTTTCCTTCATACAGTAATGAAGATTTTGCTCAAATCTTTTGCGGACATTTGCCAAGTTATCTGAAGTTATCTTTGTGCAAAGGATTAAAGTTTGGGGACCGCGGCGGCCACTCAATAGAACTTCGTCTACCAATACACCGACCAGGAAAGGTGTGATCCAAAAATTGGCTTACATGTGCTACACAATAGGGTGATGTGCCATCTTATTGAAACTGGTTATCGGCGTTTTATATTATTTCCGTAATTATTAAATCTGTTGTATTTTCCAGCAATATTATTAAGTACTATAATATTATTCCCTAAGCGTTAAGCTTCTGAGGATGTTGCGAATGAACTTTTTTAAGTAATCGAGGGCTCGAGTCACTCGAATAACAACAATAATGTCTATTATCAACCCGGTGTAAATAGAATGTGCTTTCATCTGAAAAGAAATATTAAACATCAAATGTCTATTGTTGAGCAACCATTGACTCATTTATTCAATTTCCTATTGTAATCATGTTCATTGAGTTCATGCTCAAGTTTTATTGTATAAGGATGAAATTTATGACTTCAATTTGGAAGATCCAGCCAGTTGACGAGTACCTACTTTGGGTATTGTCAAGTTCTACGTGTCCCAAAACCGCTGTATCAATGGCATTGTTCTTCACCGTTCGAATTGGATTGTGCAAAACATTAGTCACAGGTCCAGATTCTTCAAACTTCCTGATTAATCTTCCCACATACTTATCGTTAATAGTTCTGTCTGGACGTAACTGATTAAATAAACGGGCGGTAACCCTGGGACAACTTCAATTTTTAAAATAAATTGTAAATATTTCCACTCTTTTATGAATTGAAAATTTTATTATAATGTTGTACATGTAAGATGTACATGTTAAGTTAAAAAAAGTTTAAATATAAGCTGACACTTGACGGCGACTCGTTGTTTTTAATAATCTGTCAGATATCCATAGAAACGGCAATATGAGATTTTTCGAACGGCTCAATATCTCAATCATCATTTGTACAACAAACGCAAATAAAATTAAAAGGGTTGGACATGGGTATAAGACATGTTCAACCAAATTTACTACAAACTTCTGACAGGATCGAAAAATAACATATTATTGGTAGGTTTATATTTAAAAATCAAAAGTGTGACGTAGTATCTTGTTTATGAAACACTCTGTATAATGCAATGAGAGTCAAAAAATTGTCCCCTTAAAAATCAAAGTTGACGGTTTCCTGTCAGTCTACAAGGGGAACCATTAATAGGGGTGCGACCTTCTCGTTGGCCCACCCTGTATATGAAGAAGCTAATAAAAAAATACATTTTGTTTATACTTGCTATGTGTTATACTATAAAACTTATTAACAGGCTATTGAAAAGCTGGGATGGGCAAGCCCAACTCTAATCCAGGAAAAAGCAATACCCCTTCTTTTAGAAGGAAAAGATGTTTTGGTGCGAGCCCGCACCGGTTCCGGAAAAACGGCAGCTTTTTCCATACCTGTTATACAGAAGATTTTGAATTTGAAGAAAACATCCACTCAGCAAGACACTAAGGCTCTAGTATTGGCGCCCAGTAAGGAACTATGCCAACAAATTTACAGGGCTATTAAGGATATTAGTATTAAGTGCTCTAGAGAGGTAAAAACTTTATTAATCCCAAAGTTTTTCCCATTAAAAGAAACCGTACTTTTCCCAGGTTAGATGTGTCGACATTGCACCCCAGGAAGACCTAAATATTCAGAGACCTCTGCTGATGGAGAAGCCTGATATTGTGGTCGCTACACCTGCCAGATGCTTGCAACACATGTTGGCGGGAAATTTGAATTTAAAGAAATCCTTAGAAATTCTTGTTATAGATGAAGCTGATTTAGTATTTTCCTTTGGCTATGAAACAGAAATAAAACAACTATTAGAGTAAGTATTTAATAAGATAATTCGATTTTTGTGTTTACTCACTCTCACCTTCGGTGAAGATATAATTTCATATCTCATAATAATTCAATATATTCAATAATTTAGATCTATTAGATCTGCAAATTTAAATTATGAAAAGCGGGATCGAAGAATTTCAAAAGAGTACTTTTCTATTAGCATTTTGTTCGGCAATTTTTCGGTGTATTTATCACATTATTGAATTTTATTTTGTAGAAAGTTACCAAATATATACCAGGCAATTCTGTCATCAGCTACATTAAGTGAAGATGTCAAGAGTTTGAAAAAGATCGTATTGCACAATCCGGTTATTTTGAAACTTGAGGAACCCGATTTGGCGCCGGCTAGTCAACTGACTCATTATAATCTTAAAGCTGAAGAAATGGACAAAGCTACCATTTTGTACGCTTTACTTAAATTGCATTTAATACGAGGAAAAACGATAGTTTTCGTTAATACTGTAGACAAATGTTATAAGTAAGTATCTGTGTTTTTTTGTTTCAGATTTGTATGTTGTTTGTTAATTATATTTTTCGTTATTGTTTTCAGTTTTAGTAAAAACAATTGATATTTTATATTAGTATTTTAGTCGAACAGTTTAAATGATAAGCATGACCATAAATCGTTTTTAGGCTAAAATTATATTTAGAACAATTTGCCATACGCACCTGTGTATTAAATTCAGAACTGCCCAGCGCCATAAGATGTCATTCCGTAAATCAGTTCAATCAAGGAGTTTACGATATTATAGTTGCATCTGACGAAAAATCTTTGGAGCAACCCAGTAACGAAGGTGCGCCAGATCTTGTTGGTCACAAAAAACCTAGCAGATTTCAGCGAAACAAAGACAAAAATAGCGGCGTATCAAGAGGAATAGATTTTCAATGCGTTTCCAATGTCATTAATTTCGATTTTCCTTTGGATGTGCAGTCTTATATTCATAGAGCTGGCAGAACTGCGAGAGGAAATCATCAGGTTGGTAGATACATCTGCTATTAAGTGGGAATTTTTCTAGTGTTTTCATCTATTATTTTTCAGGGAAGCGTATTGTCTTTTGTGAGCATCAAAGAAGGCCCTCTGTTAGATAAAGTTGAAAAGTGTCTTAAACAAGGCGAGGACATTTCAATATTTAGGTAACTTTCTAATATTTACTGACCGTGTGTTGCTAGTTTATTCTTGTTTTGTACTGCTTTCAGGTCCTACCAATTCAAGTTAGAAGAAGTGGAGGCTTTTAAATATCGAGCCAAAGATGCATGGAGAGCAGTTACCAAAATCGCCGTTCGCGAGGCAAGATTAAAAGAGATCAAGCAAGAAATCCTTAACTGTCAAAAATTAAAGGCAAGCATACGCTTTATTTTACAATTTTATTGAATGGACATTGATTGTTGGTATTTTATAGAGCTACTTTGAAGACAATCCAACAGATCTTCAAGTGCTTCGTCACGACAAAGCGCTACATACAGTTAAAGTACAGCAGCATTTGAGCGATGTTCCTGATTATATTGTGCCACCAACTTTGAAAAATCTTGCTGGCTTGAACAAGAAAACCAAGAGAAAACGCGATCACAGCAGGTCGGCGGATTTGAAAGCCAAATTACAGGTACGTTTTGGTATTTAAATAAGTTAAAGATGAGTTTTATTCTGCTGATAAAGCTGGCGATTTTTTTATGCAAACTAGTTGGACGAACCCAATATTCAGTGAGAGTGTGAGATAATATTTCATAAATAGTTCTAGGTTTGCGTGAATTGAATTCCTTACCCAGCGCGAACTCTCAATCTATGTACGAACAAATTTTTATTTTGACATGCTCCTTCAATCATACATGGGATATTAAATCTTCTTCTTCTTGTTATTATTTGTAAAGACCGTTTGGTCTGTTTATTTCGTCTGGTCAATGTTGTTGATTCTCCTGTGATATAGATGTTCAACTATTTTTTTCATTTTTTCGGTGGTTTTCCGATGGGTCTTTTAACAGCTGCATTTCCATTCGGCACAATCTTGGCTACCCTTTCGGGGTCCATTCTTTCTACATGGTCCCGCCAGCATCTTCTGCGCTTTCGTTCCCATCTGATACATACTGATACATCCTCCACCTTGCAGGTCTGTCTTATTGTTGCGCTCCTCACTCTATCCCGTTGTGTTTTTCCCGCTATTGACCTTAGACTTCTCATCTCTGCCGTTATTAACATACATTTTGTTTTGTTTGTGTCCGCTCATCGTCTCATACTTAAGCATTTCGTTTGTTATTTTATCTGGGTCTGGTGATTTTCTGTGATTTTCTGTTGTTTTGTTTAATATGTAGTTGTCGATGTTGTTGGGCATGATCCATAGATCCGCTTGTTCTTCGATGTTGCACAGACTCTTGAGGTGGTTTGTCCTTTCCTCAACGGTAATATAGACTGCGATTTGGTCGTGAACTGGTTTCTTCTGCGATCTAATGAGCTTCCATATTCTCCGTTGTCCTCCGTACCGTTGTATATCGGTGGAGAACTTTTCCCAATAGTCTTTTTCGATTTGAGTTATTTTAGCATTGGCTCTGTTTCTTACGGCGACGTACTGCTGTGGCGCCCAAACTCTCCACATCACACTGAAGCTATAATGGCATGTACTTGCTTTTTCAGTAAAGGCAGTACCATGACCTCAACATAATTTTTATTGCTTTTATTTCAGTTTAAAGTTCTATACCTCTAAAAAACACCCTTTACAAGTATATTAAATATAGAATAGGATTTATTGTGCTGTGAAGGTGATTTTAATTTATTTACGCCAATTATCAATTACCCTGATTATGATTACTATTGGTAAATATAGCTAACGATAGATGTACTAAGATCTATCTGCTGCTTTATATTGCTTGTTTAATATTATGTTTTATTTTTAGGCAAAAAAGAAAAACCCTCTAGCAAGTATGCAGTTTGAAGGTTTCAAAAAGAAAAGGAAGATGCTTAGTTATTAAAAGTTTTCTTTTTAAGTTAATGTAATGTTTTTTGAAATACAGTTAAATAAGTTGTGAATATTAGTTTTCTTAGACGTTAAAGTGTTGTCCTTTCTCCCAGTCCCATATTTTGAGATACAGCTACATTTCAACGTGTGCATGGTGGACACTTTTAAATGGAAACTTCTAGTTCTATTAGACATGGGTAAATCAGTGAATTTTCGGGAGTTGGCGCAGTTGTGACGAAATGGCTTGTTCCGCCAACCCAACGCACCGGCGCAGTTGCCTTGCAGTCGCTCATTTGTTGCGGGAACACATTTTGCATCGGGTTTTTAGAAAATCCCAAGTTCAGAGTTGGGCGTGCAGTAAAGAATAATGCGCTCTAAATGTCTTCAAATTATTTTAAAGCTTAAAAGGTTAATTCAAATCGCACGAAATCCTAAATTTTGCGCCCTTCGTAAATGTTGATTTGAAAATTAACGATTTCACGCAACTGCATACTCTTCATAAAGAAATTCCCAAGTGAAACCAGTAGGAACTTGGGAGATTGAGATTATGTAGACGTTTTTTTAAATAAAGTCTGTAAAATGGTAAGCACAGTACCATCGTAACCGGAGATGAAGCCACAATAAAGGCATTAGAATCGTACACAATCAGGTCACAATGTGTGCTAGATTGTGTAAAAGAACTTACAACCCTGGCCGGGAGCTCAAACAGAGTAAAACTCACTTGGGCAACTGGTACGAACAGGGGCAAAGAAAACGAGATTGCTGCGGAACTTGCTCAGGCAGGGACCGAGAAATCACTGACCAACCAAGAACCTGCTTGCGGTATATCTCATGCTCAAGTTAGGGTGGCAGTTGGGCAGTGGATCGTGGAGCAACACAGAAAGTAGTGGGAGGAGACACCGCGACTCCATACCGCAAAGCAGTTGGTGGGACCTCCACAACCAGTACGTAAAAAAGAACTGCTAGGTCTCAGCAGGCAAAAAATAAGGAGGATAGTGGCCTTTTTAACAGGACACGCCCCCTGCAACCTCTTCAGGATGGGACTGGGCGATCAACCGACCTGCAGGGGTTGCGAATTAGAGGACGAAACTACTCTGCATGTTATGTGTCACTGCACGTCATATGCAACAGGTAGACGAAGA